ATGTACATGTTTAGTGAAACCATACAGAAATCATTTAATTTGATACATACTGGATTCCTAATGTATTCTGTATAAAAACGATAAGCTAACTTGTGTGTGCCCGACTGGTATCCCAGTCATTGTTAAGCTATAACTGTGTTGACAACCCCTTCCCTCATGTCACATTACAGAAAGGAGGCGTTCGCCCTCCAGATGATGTCTGCCCTTTCAGATCCGAAAGATGATGAGTAAGCTTCTTTACTAGAGAATCATTTTCTGTGTTTATGGGCTTATGCTGCATTTTAAAGTTTACCTGCATTTAGTATATAAACACTTTCATTATCTAGAAAATGACAACTGATATAGTCAAACAACATGTGAAAATACTTTACAACTATTAGTAGTAAACAACAACAAAAAATATAACTGCTTTAAAAAGTTACAGCCACCACTATGTATAATACAAAATGCTTCATGACAAATCTACATGCAATGTTCTTCAAAAGAATATCCACCTTTTGTGGGATGAAAATTCTGCTTCTCTTTATCAAAGGGACTTGGTGGTCTCCATTTTTTTAATTTTTCTGTAGTAAATTCAGTTTTACACATCATGTTAGTGACGTGGGTAGAGATGGCAACTCTGGCCCTAAAAACATTTGTGTTTTAATTGCGTTGATGGCTTCATCACATTGCTCCTATCTGTGATCAGTCAGTGTAATGAAGACGATGAGGACTTGCCCCCTGAGGTGAAGCTGGAGCGCGAGAGGGAGCGGCGAGTCGCTAACAACGCCCGCGAGCGCCTCAGAGTACGAGACATCAATGAGGCGTTTAAGGAGCTCGGGAGAATGTGCCAGCTGCACCTCAGCCACGACAAACCTCAGACCAAACTCCTCATCCTGCACCAAGCTGTCAACGTCATCCTCAATTTAGAACAGCAAGTCAGAGGTCAGTCTGCCAGCAGCACACAAAGTGAAGCACCTATAGCGTTGTTAAGCATCAAATGTTTTATCAAGCTTTGTCCTCCTGTTCTTTCAGAGCGCAACCTTAACCCTAAGGCAGCATGTTTAAAGCGCAGAGAAGAGGAGAAGGTATCTGGTGTTGTGGGCGAATCTCAAATGCAGCTCTCAGGAGGTCATCCGAGCATGCCAGGCGATGGCCACAACTCGGTCGGTCACATGTAACACAAGGTGGGCTTTAATCGTATTACTGTGGTCCTTTTTGTATTTGTTTTCAGGGTTGTTTTGGTTGTTTTTTATTATTTTTTTGCTAATGCAATGTTGATGTCTGCCTTTTCCAGATCTGACGGTGTTTTCTAGCCTGTTGGAGGATGTGGCCTTAACAGTTTGCTTCCACCCATTATTCTGTGTGTAAATGTGGACATGTATGTGTATTGTCCATTCAAGTCCCAAGATACTCATTTACACGCACACATGCATACTGCCAAACTGACTTAGCACGTTCAGCGCACTCCCAACCACAACTACAAACTCAAATGTGAAGAACTTTTTTAGTTTTGCTTTGTTTTATACATGTAAAGCGTTTTGGTTTTCATATTTGGTTTCCACAAATGGAGGGAACCCCAGAGTACTTTTGTCCTGCCACAGATTGGGACTACACACTGCCAAGAGGTACTCTGACCAGAGAGAGACCTGAACACAAATTTAATCAAGGATTTGTGCCTATTTGTTACATGTTTTCTATTTGACATTTAAGCAAATTGCTTTACATGCGAGGAACATTTATTGTGAGGGATTGCTTATATGTATGAGCAATTATTTTTAATGTATGTCATTCCCAGTGTGATGGTACAGTCTTACATATGTTATGTAACCAAGCCCATTGTTTATTGTCCTATTCAGTTACTTTTCATAATCTTGTCTACAGAAGATTGGGAAACATGTTAAAAGGGTCAGAAGGGAAAAGGACAATGTTTTGATTGTGCTATTAGACAGACACCCTAGCCCAGAGAGTCAGAGATTGATCCCCAGTGTTTTTACAGATGTCTGGAGACCACAGACTAAAGAGGATAAATTATTCATATGGTAGAATAAGTCGATAACAAACTGTTTTTCCTTTCCACTGACCACAAAGTATTACATCTGTAATCTTTATATTAGGGTCATTTTTGTATCGTACTTGACTGCATACAAGAGTAGTTTAGGGGAAAGGGTTGAATTAAACAGCGTATTTCAGTCCTTTTGCCCCTGGAAAAATCCAATGGAATTGAATTGGGACTGATTTCCAGGTAACTTTTACATCAGATGCTGCTGTTTCCCCTGAATCAAATATATTTTTGAGAAATTCTAAATTATTTGGTTTTAAGATCTACATCAGTTAGTTTAGCCTTTGTGCGACATTGGCTTACATTAACAAAATGAGCATTCCCAGAAAAAGGCTCGACTTCTTATGAAGTTTGTCCACACTTTGGTGTGAAATGTAAATTCACTTACGCTAACATTACTCAGTTATGTTTCTTTGTCAGATTTAAATATATATAAATATATATTTTTTGTTAGTCTATACATTGTAGATTTTTTACATAAATGGCAATATTAGTTTGAACTTTAGTGTATTGTAGATGAGCTGAAAAAGGGGATATTTCACATTTTAATGAAATTGTAAAAAAACATTTGAACGTGGGTGGCAGTGGAAAAAAGTAAACAGTGATAAATGGAAATGTATTGAGTATAGTGTATCCTTTATTCCTGTTTAATTTTAAAAGGCCTATGAGCAGTGTCCATGTCCCACTGTGGGGTGTGTGCACAGTGAAACACCAAGGCAAATGCAGAAAGGGATTTTTCTCAAACATTATGCAACTGGTTCTTGAATGTAGCTACCATAAATATTAATCGCCTTGAATTTTTTTGTTTGTTGTCTCCTTGGCGTTTTTGTCCATCTTTTCCTAATCTCTGCCCTGACCAAGTGGCTTATAGTGGGGCAGGATCCTGCACACTTAAGGAGGTGGATGCTGACATTTGGTTGCAAGGTAAAATTATAATATGAGAACAAAACAGTATTATTGTAATGTTATTCCCATTTTGTCATGTTGTAAATGATTTTACCAACATGTAATCACAAATGGGAGTATTTTGTGTTTAATTTCTACAAAAGAGATGAAGACCTATACAAATCAATAGTGTGGCCTTTTCATTCTCAAGACTTAAGATGTCATGATGGGAGAGTGATACCTTATCAGTGCCTGAAATTGTATTTTCATTGAAAACAAGTTTATTTTGTGAACCATATCATTTCATTTATCTTGGAGATTAAAAGGTACTTGTTCATTCCCAACTTGACTTTCTCCTAATGCTTTTTCAGTTTCCAGGAAGGTTGAAATCTTTAAATGAGATTTTCTTTCTGTGTATCTAGTAAATAAATGTTATGTAGAGCTTGTTAAGTTTTTATTCATTTGTTTTCAACTGGATTAAAACTGCTGTTTAAGTTAAAGGTCATGGGTCCAGGACAAGTTAATTTGTGTTGGTAAATCACTAAAATGACAGGGTTTAAGAGTTGCTGATTGCTTTTCATGCACATAAATTGAAAGTATTGCGTCTGTAAGTGACTTTCTGTAGTAGCTCGAGCCCCATAGAACTTACTGCGTTTTCTTTATATCAGAATGCAAGCCCTCTGCAGTGGTTTCCAGTTTTTTCTTTTAGTCCTATGTCAAAAAAAGTTGCAAAGTTCTCTTGTTTTGTTGATTCTGAGACATACATTTTTGTGAGAGGATCTGAAAGACTATTTTGAGGACTTGTCCTTTTTTTTTTTTTTTTTTTTACTTTTGTATTACAATAAATGAGTGTAATGAATATTGCCATTTGTCACAGGTCAAATCAGTGTGACTTGATATCATTAGTATTCAGTAAACATTGCTTTAAACCCATTAATTCATTGTTTAAATTCACAAATTCACAATCATCTGATAGGCACACAAATTGTTGGCAACTAAATAGTATTTATACAATTGTCTAGCCTAATTTGTATGGGCCTGGGATCATTTGGAAAACAGGTCTATGCAATTTCAAATATTGTTGGTCATCTTTGAGTTAAGGGGGGTAAGAGTGAAACTGGGACTGACAGTCTGAGGGCTTGGTGACTGACTTCCCATTCACTCGTGTTTTATATACATATAAATAAATATATATAGTTGAACTGTCCTGTATATAACAGTAATGTAGCAATAAATGTGCCATTTTGATGACAGATTATACTTTTTCCAGTGTGTGGCATTTGAACATTGTATAGCCTACATAAAAATAAAAGAAAAAAAAATAAAACAAATTGTATCAAATGTGTTGTAGTTGGTTACATTCTGTTATGCTTGCCTAAAATGTCCTACACTTGTAAACAAAGGAAATGAATGGTGAGGACTTGACTGAGGCAGTCCCAAATTGTGCCTGTCTGTAAAGCTTTGGTTTTTATAAGAGGCAGTAGAACGGGCAGCCTGGGGTCCTATTCTGCCATTAAAAACAACAAGAACTAGCTACAGAAATAAACTGCAGAAGGTCAGAATGGTCCAGAATATTCTTAACAAAATCATTGGGAATAAATATATTTCCATCGTGAGGACGTGGTAAGTGGTGTCCTGGGAGCATCGTTCAGGTTTTGTCTTCTACTTCAAACACGCGTGTCCTTCTGACTGACCCGTAATGTTCTGGCGTAGATGGCGTGGGATTTAGATCTACTAGTGTAACTTGCTTAGACAAATGAAACCTCCATTAAAACGTTTAATACGTTACACAATGATCTAGGCTTTCTACTGAAAATAACCATCATTTGGGCATCATTTAATTTCAAATGTAGGTCTCTCTGTTGAACTTCATGTGACTATTTTAATGATGCAATGCAGAATAGCCTGTATCATTTCTTACTGCCAGTCTTATCCATCTCTAGATTCACTATTTTGGGGGATGATTCATCCAACCAGTTTGTTTAGCCTACCTGGTGCAATGTAATAGTCCAGTTATTATTAACTGTAGTTTTTGGGGAAAGAGACAATTATGAGGGACTTTTTCTTTTCATTTCTTAATTATGTTAATTTCTTATTGATTGTGCATAATATGTGCCTGCATTTTCATACCTTACCATAATTTGCTCCTTAGGGTCCCTAATATGGCGGCTTGGGGAACAGTGGGTGGCGTGGCGCTTGTCCACTTCACAGACTGGCGGTTAATCTTGGACTATGTGCCATACATTAATGGAAAATTTAAAGGGGATGAGTGATGAATTATAATTTCATGTGGTAAGCATAAATTGGTCACATGATCAGCATTATAAAGATAGAACACAGTGTAGACATGTAGACTGGTCTGCCATCTATTCTAGACCTAGTCTTGCTCAAATTATTTACAAGTAAAATATATCTTGTAGTAGTTTTTATTTTCAAATGCCTGTTTTTAAGTACATTAAACATAGAAGAATTGAGCTGACCTATACCCTTTTGTTTTTGCAGGACCACATCTGGAGATGGGAACATGCTTTGTCAATGCAAGTTCAGTGTCAAAACCATGGCTGTACAATTAGTCATCCCAGGCTGTTTGTAACACAAGATGCACTCTGTTTAACGTGAATCTGAAAATATTAAAAGTATATGCCAATAAGGTTTATGTCCAACACTAATCTCTCATAATTGTGTAAAATGTATTATAAATAAAACATATTTTTTGTTTAGTGGGTCTTTTGGTCTGGTTATTGTTTCATAACTATTTGCTATGCACCTGTAGGCTGTTCTAAATCACAAATTAGCATACACGCGTTGATATTTTAATCCTAGTATCTCTGTTAATGGTTACCAATGAGGGTCTAGTGCAGCTTTTGCTAGTGCACCTCAACCTATGGCGCGTTTTACAGACAGTATTCTCATTATATGGAAGCTGCGCTGATAATGCCTTTGATTTGTTCTGTGGAAGGGGGAGGGGACTCTGAAAGAGGAGAGGGGAGAAGGGATTTAACATAGCGAGAGGGAAAGGAAAGCTACACTGTCTTCAAGATGGATAAAAACGAGTAAGTACCTCTCTCCACACACTCTTATGCCGTTATTTGCAAAATCATTTGGGTTATGCATTTAATTCGCAACGAACCATTTGCAAAGACCCAGCATTGCAGTAGGTTGGCAGTGTTTATCATCAGCGGGACGTTCACTCGGTGCGCTTGCTTTGGAAATGTCATGCCGCTGTTCTCTGTATAGATGTAGGTACATTATAACATTATTAATTTAAAGGCTGACCATAACGTTGCAATTTCTTGATTGCGTCGGGACCGTGTCATTTTTACACACAAGAACAGAAAGAGAGATAATAGCTGATAAAGATCTTATTTGAAAGTGCATAGTAATTACTAAATGAAATGCTTGAGAAGCTGATAGAACGGTCTCTTCGTCTGATTGCGAAGATCTACTTTCTTCATTCATAAAAGCCGGCTGCAATACAGGCTGAATGACAACGGCAGGCATTGTGTTTCGAGAGTAGCCAAGCTTTAACACTCATGTAAACAGCAGCCTTTCGTACACGGTGCACAGTGGAAATGTGTCATGGGTGTGCTGTATTTACGCAGTAACATAGTGGCGGGCGATTCATAGTCTATATGTGGACGCGGTTTTATTTATGTGCCATTGCAACATGACCGTCCTTTGCGTCTTTTTGAAAGACAGATAAGGGGCTTCCGGCTTGCATGTCAAAATAAAAATATTGCCAATTCATAGGCTTGAGAAGCTATTACTGCAGACTACTATTACTACAAATGGCTTACTAAACCCAATAGACTGAACAAATCATAACAACTTTATTTGTCCTTATTGATAGACCAATGTAGGACACATTTTGGTAGGCAACATCCCTTACGCCTTTTTGCACCTGTTGAGTAATAAAGAAAATATTTTATAGAGAGCATACTCATAAGAGACAACTGAGGGTAGCTCGTTTAAGATAAAGTGCGGTTGCTTTTTAGGTCTTCAGAATGGGGTGAGTAAGAATGGTATGAAATGAAAACTAAAGCACTTCCCGTTTTATCTCATCCGCTTCACGCTGCCTTGACGCCGTAAATGTTTTATGTTTTTCCTTGCGGATGTAGCCCTTATGCCCCACAAGACAGGCAGGTAGTGATGAGGCTGAGGTCCGCGGCGGAGCGATCTGCGCCACGACAAAGAGACGAGATGTTCGCCGCAGCTTGATCCCCACTCAGGGCGCACGCCGTATTATGGTGGAAACAAAAGCGTAAAAGGCGAGAGGGCTCACCGTGCACTTTTCACTAACTCGGCCTACTTCTTGGTAGTTTATTTTAATTGAGTAAAGATTTCGTGCGTGGGCCAATGGAGAAGAAAAGGTGGGATTGCACAGCTCTTCCCAAGGGCTGGAAAATGGAAGAAGTGACCAGAAAGTCCGGTTTGTCAGCTGGGAAAAGCGACGTGTATTATTTTAGGTATTGCACTCACAGGGGTTTGTAAAACTTACACAGGACAAGAACATTCAAAAGTTGGACAATGCTGGCATAGTTACGCGTAAAGTTTGGGATGAGGGTGGGGATTGGTTGCAGCAGGCCCCCGCTGTGGTTGGCGCTCGTGTCAAATGAATAAACATTAGTGTCATTTCAGTTAATCCTATTCATTTTCTATTGAAGTGACCCAACCACAATCTTTTATTAGCAGAGGAGAAGAGCAAGATGAGGAGCAGAGGCAGGAGAGGGGGGAGGCGGGTCGGTTGTATAGTTTGTGGTAGGACAACTGCACATTTATACTGTGTTAACCGTGGTGTGTGATGTACAATGCATTTGCATGGATTTCTAGCACGTATCCATCCACAGCTGGTAGTCATTGCTTTCAAGCTGCTTTTATAGTTACTCCCTCAAATGGAGTTTTATTTTATTTTTTGTAGCATTATCATGTTTACATTGTTTTAAATGGTTTGTAACGGTGCGCTGTTCTACTCACTCTTTTAGTGACTATCTGCATCCAGTGGATAGGACTACATTGTGCCAGTGTGCAAAGCTTAGTTCTACATTGCTCATCCCATGTCACTCTAAAAGTTTCTGAATTCATTGAATTCATTTGGCTTTTGCCATTTTTGTGAACTCATTTACAGCATGTAGTGGTGCTTGTCTTTTGTCTTTGTCTTCAGTTTCTGATCTGTTTTACCGTTTGTGTTTTGGCTAAAGATTACCTAAGTACTTTTAATAATTCTGTTTTATGTCTGTATTTTTGCTAGTCCATCTGGGAAGAAGTTTCGGAGCAAACCTCAATTGGCCCGTTACCTGGGAAACCAGATGGACCTGAGCTCCTTTGATTTCCGCACAGGAAAGATGCTGATGAGCAAACTCAACAAGAACCGGCAGAGGATGAGGTACGACAACAACAGCCAGAACAAGGTAAGTCCAGTACTGCAGATTTCAATGCCACTGTTAAAAGACTAGATCATAGTCTAACAGCTCTAACTCTTCCTTCCTGTTGGTCTGATAAGGGCAAACCAGATTTGAACACATCCCTCCCAGTCCGGCAGACGGCCTCCATCTTTAAACAACCAGTTACAAAAGTCACCAATCACCCCAACAACAAAGTGAAGACAGATCCTCAGAAAGCTGTTGACCAGCCACGACAGGTGAGAAACGATGGAACGATGACTGTGCCATCTCACCCCAATGAAACCCACCTCACGTAATCCTAACCCTACAAAAACTACATTATATTTGAATGTACTTTTATTTTGCAGTTATTTTGGGAGAAGAAACTTAGTGGGCTCAATGCTTTTGACATTGCAGAGGAACTTGTAAAAACAATGGAACTTCCAAAAGGTTTACAAGGTATAGTATTTTTACTATATTTTATTTGAAAGGATTAAAGATATTTCTACTTAAGTCTTGATCTGTATGAACGTGGTGTCATCAGGTGTTGGTCCAGGCTGTACAGATAAAACTCTTCTATCGGCCATTGCGAGTGCTCTTCACACGAGTGCAGCTCCCATCACGGGTCAGCTGTCTGCAGCAGTGGAGAAAAACCCTGGAGTTTGGCTCAACACAGCACAGCCTCTGTGCAAAGCATTTATCGTCACAGATGAAGATATCAGGTTAGTCAGAAAACAGCTAAAAGTAACATGGACACAGGAATACAGATTCCTTCCAGTAGACAATTTGTTCTTAAAAAAGGCATATTGTATATAAATCGTAAATGACGAATACATATTTAGCATGGTCTTTTTTTTATTGACAGCTTTACAGCCAATAATAATAATGCAATAATACTTGTAAAGTGTTTTTTCTTGGCACTCAAAGACACTTCACACAGTTCGAAACAGACAAAACACAAATGAAGAACCAGATAAAAATGAGATGCAATTATTTGAAGGCAGAGAATCTACTGTCAGTGAAAGTAAGTGGTTTGAGGTACATTCTGAGGAGGTAATTTGACTTTGATCTTTTGTGTTAAACTGCAACAATTAATTCAGTGTTAATTATGGTTCGAAAATGTATTTTGAAAGGCATTTACTCTAATTAAATTTTTTTGTAATAAATACATATTTTTGTCATGTTGCCCAGACCTGAATTTTCTTAGAAGTGTATTTCAGTTGGTTGAAAGGCAAAGTGTAACGGTTTCCTGTTGTTGGGGTGCATAGGAAGCAGGAGGAGCTGGTGTACAGTGTGAGGAAAAGGCTAGAGGAGGCGCTTATGGCCGATATGCTGGCCCACGTCGAGGAGGCCGCCAATGAAGGAGAGACCCTGAAGGAGGAAGGCAACGGCAGCGAAGACAGTGAGAATGTATAGCACAGGTTGGCCTAATAAATCAATAAAAAATTTAAACTTTCTTCTAATGTATTACCAAAGTGATTTAACTACTACCACTTTGTCCTCTAGGATCTGAAGTTTGAAAGTTTTGGTTTATTCCTGATTATTTTGCCACAAACACGTACTGAAGTCCCTCTCTTCATTATTGTCTGAAATGCATCATGGATACATTATTTTTTTGGACAACACATATTTTAGCTGACTAAGATTTTGAGCTCAACTAATTTGGATCGAAAATGAAATGTAACCTCAGTGTGAATATAATCAGTGTTTGCAAAAAGGTTTGTATGTTGATGACAATCACCCAAATTGTTCTTTCTGGCGATAGAATATATGGTGATTTGGTGTTATTTCCATTTAAAAAAATGTTATCAAGCACTCCAATAATTTTGAGCCAGGCAGACAGTTTCAAACCAGATTTAGCAGAACAAGCTAATCTGAAAGAACTGTTGAAGTATATGCTACAACCACAACTTATTTTTGACCTCAAACATTTATTTTGTGTGTCATTTTCAGTATTGACCAAAGAGGAGACATTTTGCTTTGTAACTACAAAAACGATGGAAGTTAACCTGAACGTAGACTGACCATAATGCTAAGGACTTGATACCTCCTCTTCCTGTTCATTGTAATTACAGGTGCTTTATTGGTGCTGTTTAACACTGCATTTTTGTACCAGGATTTCACAGCTTCAGCCCATGTTATTTCAACTTTTTAATGTTACTACACACAGACTGCCTCCTCTACCCACGCACAAAACTGGTCATGAGTAATTTTGTATTTTTATCCCTGTTGATTATTATTTTTATTGGATCCACTGAAATCCTGTCATTGTGTATCAACAGGCTATATGTTGAAATTGATTGTATTATTAAAATTAGTCCAAATGTCACAAACTATGTCATGTTGTGTCTTTTATTTGATAAAACCTTGATCTCCCAAGTCTATTAATATTTGTGAAGCAAGTATCTCTACCCAATTGGTGCATCCTCCTCTGGATTAACAGTTAACTTAATAGTGCTCCTGCCTTGCTGAAACGGTGAACAAAGTACAAGCAATGTCACTCAACAGACACCGGCTTGGGACTGGATGAATGAAGGACAGCTGCTTCTCCAGATCTGAGACTTTTGCCACAACGCAGCTCCTAAATTCGTAATGGGACCACTGGAACTATACTGCAAGGTATAACAAATGTTAAATGATGCAATGTCTATACTTTTCATGGACTTTATAATGATAGGATTCTAATTTCAATTGTATGGAAAAATACTTCTAAAATTATTGCAGATGTTCCTAATATGAATGACGGATGGGTACATTTTTTTCAAATTAAAGCTGGAATCTGTAGGCTTAATGACTTCACTGTGTTCTCTAATGTCTCAATTATAAAAATGTGGTGTTAATCTTTAACGCTGTTTGGGAGCATTTATGCTGATGTAAAAGAAATGCGCTGTGGGTGGGATCCCAAGCTGTATACCAGGTGTTAAAATGTAACATTATACAATAATTAACAATTGTAAAAGATATGTTGCAATATGTATGTTTAGAGCAAAACTGAACTTGAATAGCTCCTTAGAGGAAGCCACATCCAATTAAAACCTGGCAATATTTACACCTAATGTGCGCTCAAGTGGAAGTTCTAAATGTGTTACTTATAATCAAATACCTGTAGTTGTAAACAAAAGTAATAAGACACAGATTTTGAATAAAATATGTCTAAGAGTGTGTGCTCAAGTTTGTTTGTTTGTTTTTGTTTTTTTTCTGTTGATTTAGAGTTACTGAATTTGTTTCTTTTTAAGATTAATGTTATCTTTCTGTGGGCCCAATTATTATCCATAATAATGATCATGGATATTCACAAATATTTTTCACTTGTTCATAGTGTTGTGCTTGTTTACTACAGGGAGCAAGTGTGTGGGTTCCTGATGAAGTTGCAGTGTGGGTTTCAGCTCAACTCCTTCGTGACTACAACCCCGAAGAAAAACTGCTTTATTTACAACTCGGCAATGGACTGGTATCAGAATTTTTTTTAGTATATAAGCAAATCAATTATCCCAGTCCTAACAATGACAGTCTTTCCTTTGTTAGGAGCTACATTACCCAGTGGAGTCCCTGTCTGACCTGCCACCTCTGGGAAACCCGGACATTTTGGAAGGAGAGAACGACCTCACTGCTCTGAGCTTCCTCCATGAACCTGCCGTCCTACACAACCTACGAGTCCGATTTCTGGACTACAACAGTATCTACACTTACTGTGGTAAGATCTGGAAGCGACCAAGTTAAAACTGCTTCTTGAGTTTTATATTAAATTGGAGTGGAGGGTATATATGCAGTGAACCTCAAGGGCCCCCAAACCTCGATTTTCTAGATCAGGTTCCACTTATGTATACAAGGAGGATTAGGTGAAGCCTCAATCATAAAATCTGTCCACATTTACAACTACATTTATAGCATAAGCATAAGAATAAGAGCATAAAAATAAGAGCATAAGTTAAAGCAACTGATATTTTTATACCTACACTGATTATTAACTTATGTAACTATATCAAGTTTACTGACTGTTTTCCTATAACTCAATGTTTGGTGGTTCAGTCTCGTTACCTGTGCTGGCCCACTACACTGTTGTATCAAAACTGTGTGAATGGTGGGTTTAAAGGACACTGACCAATTAAGGAAGAACATGGGGCTATTTACATTAATTCCAACAGATGTCATCAAAACACTCCCTTAACATTTTAATATCCCTGCAGGTATTGTTCTTGTTGCCATCAATCCTTATGACCAACTCCCTCTGTATGGAGAGGAGGTGATTGACGCGTACAGTGGTCAGGATATGGCAGACATGGAGCCTCATATCTTCTCTGTGGCAGAAGAAGCATACCGCACTATGACCAGGTAAAGAGGTTAGGCTTTACTCACAGGTTAAGCCCGCGAACGGTCTATGAGACCTTATAACAGGGTTGAAAGCCTAACAAAACTGAACATTTAGGCTCAAAGTTACAATATACATGTTTTTAATGTTTTTAGAGAAGAGAAAAATCAGTCAATTATCATCAGTGGCGAGTCTGGCTCTGGCAAAACAGTCTCTGCTAAATTCACCATGCGATACTTTGCTGTGGTGGGAGGAGCAGCTCAGCAGACCAGTGTGGAAGAGAGGGTCCTGGCCTCAAACCCCATCATGGAGGTTAGGTTTATTATGCAACATTTTACCAAATTTACACCATTGACACCAGTCAGTGTAGCTCAGACTAGATCTGTTTGTTTTTTAGGCTATTGGAAATGCGAAAACGATTAGAAATGACAACAGCAGCAGGTTTGGGAAGTACATTGAGATTGGATTTGGAAGAAAAGGAGACATAATTGGAGCCAACATGAGGACATATCTGTTAGAGAAATCAAGAGTGGTTTTTCAGGTATGTCCTACACTGCTATCTTTTTATTATTTATCATGTAAAATGTATGTGCTTAACTCCTGAAAGCATACATTTGTGTGTATCAGGCCACCTCAGAGAGAAACTACCATATCTTTTATCAGCTTTGTTCTGCCCGAAATTACCCTGACTTGAGAGAACTCAAACTGCGTAAATATGGAACCCAATTTATTTCGAATTCTTACTTAAAGTTAATTTGCTTTGACACTTATCTCTTTGTCATGTAGTTGCACCAGAAGATTTCCGCTACACTGGTCAGGGGGGAGACGTGCATATTCCTGGCACTAATGATTTGGCCGAATTAAAACGCACGTCCGATGCTTTTACTATTTTAGGTAAAGGACATTTTACACAATAACTCTTTTTTTTTTTTTTTTTAATATATATATTTTTTATTGTCAACCTTTATAACTCATTACATGTCAAAGTCCTATCAGTTTGGTTTGTCGAATTACAGGTGTGCAGGGTGACCAGCAAATGGAGCTGTTTAGAATCCTTGCAGCAATTCTTCATTTGGGAAATGTGAACATCCAGGCGAGTGGGAGAAATTCCGACAGAAGTTATATTGATGTAAGACACCTTTTTTTTATGATCCAATCGTAACATATTTTCATTCAATCTAAAAAGGATATTATCTAAACAGGTTTAATTAGGGTGACTTTCTTCCCTTCTATTGGTTGTCCTATACACAACCTTTTAGGCCCCTGTCCCTTATTTAGAGATTGTCCAAATGATGGATTGTATTGTTTAAATGTTTGAGTTAGTCACCCTAGGTCCTGTCCAGACCTCTAACTGAAACATGCTTAGACCAACATATTGCCCTATTGTTTTAGCTCCAACTTTTGTAGGTCATTTTACACTGTAGCAGTCTGTAGGACCAATAACTGAACGTGTTTATTATGTTCTTACCAGGCAGATGACAGCTCTCTGGTCATCTTCTCTAAGCTCTTGGGAGTGGAGGGCCCTCAGATGGCTCACTGGCTATGTAACCGCAGACTGACAGTAGGAGGAGAGACGCTGGTGAAGCCTGTGCCTGGGCAGCAGGCTGTGGAGGCCCGGGACGCACTGTCCAAACACATCTATGGACAGTTGTTCACATGGACTGTCCACCGACTCAACTCAGCCCTAAGGAGTCAGAGAGGACAGCCCAAGAGCTTCATAGGAGTGCTCGACATATATGGGTATGCTACAGCCATCTGTGTTGAGAAGATATTTTCATTGTTTTTGGGATTCATTTTGTTTTTTATTTTTTGGTCTTTTGCAGTTTTGAGACCTTTACAAAGAACAGTTTTGAGCAGTTCTGTATCAATTATGCAAATGAAAAACTACAGCAGCAATTTAATAGGGTAAAATCCATAAAATATATTTTTAATTAGATCAGTAATTGTTGAGATAAATTTTTGCAGCATTACTGATAAATTTAAAAGAATTATTACTTGGTGTTCCCTACCTCAGGAACCTGAATCTACCTCACCTTAACTCTTCATGTTTGTTTATTTTCAGCATGTATTCCACTTGGAGCAGGAGGAGTACATTCGTGAAGAGTTGGACTGGCACCGTATCGAGTTCAGTGACAATCAGTTGTGCATCAACCTGATCGAGGGGCAGCTGGGGCTGTTAGACCTGCTGGACGAGGAGTGCAGGGTCTCTACAACTCTATTGTACACTGCAAAAAAGTTAAAGTTAAAATGTTAATGTTAAAATGCTTTAAATTCAGAATATTATAATAATGTTTTTTAGAAATCTTCACAAGTTAAGATTTTTTCTTTTTCTTTTTCTGCTTTCATAAAAAAGTAATTTAAACCTAGGCCAACAATCTAAACTAGTCAAAATGTCTCATATCAAAATGAATGTGTTAAATTTAAGTGATTCATACATTCATACATTAACTTTGGTGTCATTCATTCAATATTCTAATTATCAGATGCCTAAAGGGTCAGATGAAAGCTGGGTGAGGAAACTCTATGATCGACACTTGAGCAAGACACCTCATCCTCACTTCCAGAAACCGCGTATATCCAATAGTGCTTTCATCATTCTGCACTTTGCTGACAATGTAAGAGAAGTAATGGCATCGCACAGTTTGTCTCTAAATCTCATCGAGCTGTGATATCTTTATCTGTTTAAAGGTTCAATATGAGTGTCAAGGTTTTTTAGACAAAAACCGAGATACAGTCTTTGAAGAGTTGGTTAACATTTTGAAAGCAAGTCAGGTAAGTGAAATAAACCTAGCCTGCCAGACTTGATTTGAATGAGTGACAAAGTCCATAGGCTACTGAGGCATCTTTCAAAATACAGCTATATCAGATTCACACTGCCTTTGTACTTGTATATTATTCATTTTTGTGTCAGTCAGAGCTGGTGGCAGAATTGTTCCAGCAGCAAAGCACTTTTACCTCAGTGACCCAAGAAAGTATTCACTCTGGAAGAAGAGCTCACAAACTCACTGTGGGATTTCAGGTAACTGCAAAACTGTTCTCTTTTCTCCACCAAGCTTGATTTGTAATCAATATGTGTCTGGTTTAGTTTCGTCAGTCTTTACAGCTGCTGATGGATACTTTGAACAGCACAACACCCCACTATGTCCGCTGTATAAAACCCAATGACCTCAAAGAGCCTTTTACGTGAGACTACTATTATATATGCTGTATGTAACTTAAAATGGTGTACATTTGATGTTACATTGAACTTGTTTGTGTCAGGTTTGATCCAAAAAGGACAGTTCAGCAGCTGAGAGCTTGTGGTGTACTTGAGACCATTCGCATTAGTGCTGCAGGTTATCCCTCAAGGTATAAAACAAACAGTATTTAATCACTCAAATTTCCATCAACTTTCAAATTTTAATAACATTGGTGGAGAATCTCCACCAATCTCCACTGGAGATGCAAAAAATTGTTGCTCTAAAAAATATAAAATTATATGTAAGAACAAAAGCTGATCAACCATTCAAGTAGGAAACACCACAGTATACAAACATCTTTGGTATTTCTTCTGTTCCAGATGGACATATGAGGAGTTCTACACACGCTACAGAGTTCTGCTGCGCGGAGCTCATGACCAGGAGCAGGCTCAGCTCTTGTGTCGAAAGGCACTACCTGAGCTCATACCCGACCTGGACCAGTACCGCTTTGGGAAAACCAAGGTGTTTTTCCGAGCGGGTCAAGTGGCTCTGTTGGAGCGTCTGCGAGCGGAGAGGCTGAGGGTTGCCACGGTGATTATCCAGAGCTGGGTTCGGAGGTGGCTGGCTCAGATCCGCTTCCACAGAACCCTAAAGGCTATCATGACTATTCAAAGATGCATCCGAGGAACACTGGCAAGAAGGTATGGGTACTCTTCAGTTCTATTGTGCTAAGTGCCTCTTTAAAACTACATTATATTAGCATGGAAAGTGCTTATGGATTTTGCACATATGAGCTGTTTGCATCCTTCAAATCTGAACTAAAAGTTTATCTTATTTGTTCTCAGGCTTACCATGACTATGCGTTACACAAAAGCTGCCCTCATCATTCAAAAGACATACCGCATGTTTGTGGTCAGACAGTTATTCCAAATGATTCGACAAGCCACTATCACCATACAGGCCTTCACCAGAGGCACACTGGCACGACAGCAGTATAGACAGGTTAGACACCCAGAGAATACAGTGTTCTTCATAAACTTCACCATACACTCACACTCATCATGTTGTTTAGCTGTTGTCAGAGCGAGCGGCTGTACTGGTGCAGTCCAGAGTGCGTGGCTGGTTAGCAAGGCGTGCCTACACACGTGTGCGGGCTGCTGTGGTCTTTATGCAGTGCTGTGTCCGTCGACGCGCTGCCAGGAGAGAGCTACTCACACTCAAAAAAGAGGCAAGATCCGTAGAGAGGTACAGAGAGCTCAACAAAGGCATGGAAGTAAAACTGATGCAACTACAGCTACGACTGGACCAAGAGGTGAAGTTAGGATATGGAGTTTTAATATGTAACAATTAGTGGAATGGTTTTATTATTTTAATGTGTTTTAGGTTAAGGAGGCCACATCATTGAGAGAAACCTTAAATACAGAACGAGATGCCAGAAAAACTGAGTTAGAAACCCTCCAAGCAACTTTACAGAAACTACAAAATCAAAAAGCTGAGCCTCAGCCCAGTCTTGAGATCATCAAAGAGGTAGAAGAGCAGAGACAAGCCAATGAGAAGGCTGTACAGGAAATAGAAAGACTGACACAGGTGCATTCCTCTTGTCTACAGAATCCCTTATTGTAAAATTTGCATTGCTTAAACAAACTACTGTACTGTTTAAAATATTCTTTTAGGAGTTACAAATGCTAAAGAGCGAAAGAGAATCTTTTATGAAAGAAAAAGAGAACCTATCAGCTCATCTCCTTACTCAACAACAAGCTGGAGAAGGCAAGCACTCAGAATGTATTTGAAATATTTCCACTTTGCACTTTGTCTTAACCATATGTCTATGCATCCACAGAGAGCATACATGAGGCGGTGTTGAAGGCCACAACTACAATTAAAAGTGAGTTGGATGAAGAGAGGAGGAAGTACCAGGGTCTTTTAAGAGACTTCTCTAGACTGGAGCAGAGATACGACAACCTCAAAGAGATGAGTCTACTTACAGAGGTCTGGAACAATATATATTTAAAAATGTTATCTCATATTCATAACAGTATTAAGACTATAATAAATGCATATCTCCTTAGCGCACCAAGGGTCACCGGAGAACAGACTCCACACAGAGTCTGAGTTTTGAGCCTGTCTCTCCCTCTCTCACTCCTCTGTCCTCGCTTTCGACGACACCACTGTCTGCGTCCCCCTTCCCATCAGGGCTGCCCTCTCCTGAGCCAGTGCGCAGGGTTAGCGTCACATCACCCACTTTTGAGAGGAGAGCTCCGTGGAGCTCAGAATCCAATTCAATGGTACCACGACCTAAATAGAGTATAGAGTAAAGGATTATATAATATTGGCAAGGCTAAGTACTATTAAATTGGCAATAGAATTACAATATGTGTGGCCTGTGTTAGGAGCTGCTAATGGAGAGCCTGGATGTCTCCAAAGACCCCACAGTGAAGATGAAAGGTGATGACTTGGCTCATGCTTATGATGCTGTCCGTGTGGCCAACAAGTCAGTATGCCAATATTGTCATGCATTATTATGGTTCTACCAATACAAACACATCCATACGCCCATAAATGTGTGTGTGTGTGTGCTTTTTTTTTTAAGATTTCTGGAGAATCAGTTACGTACTCAGCACATCCACTGGCAGAAGGAAATGGAGGCTTTGAGATTTCAACTTAAAAAAGTATCATCTTCTGGTACAATACCTCAGGTACACATACTCACCTATAATATACAAAAATACATGTTTTTTATTAAAACGTCTGTAATGTATATAATGTAACACATTACCGTTGGTTAGGATATTCAAGACTTGCTTGAAGCTAGAGAGCAGGAGTGTGTGAGACTGAGGCGAGAGCTGAGGGACCTTAAAAACACCAGCACAATCAGGAGACTCCTCACTCAAGGTTTGGCAAATGACATGTGTGTGCCATTGAGTATTCATGTAATGAAAACATTTCATTTTTAAACATGATCTTTTTCAGTTCTGTCAGTATCTTCAACAGCTCAGGAGAGCTCATGTGTAACTGAACCACCAAAGTCTGCCCCAGTTGCAGGTTTACTTGAGTGTAGGAAAAAAGATGAATGCAAACTTCTTAAGAATTTGGTCACTGGTCAGTGCTGACTTTTTTTTTTGCTTAAACGTGAAACATACCAAACACTGTAACTTCCCCTGATGTTTATTCTAGACCTGCGTGGGGACATGGCCCTGACTTTACCTCCAGGTCTCTCTGCCAGTGTGCTTTTCTTGTGCATACGTCAGATTGACCAAAGTGGAGACCAGATGCGAACTCGATCTTTCTGCACTGCCATTGTTTCTGCTGTTAAGGCTGCTTTAAAGGTAACCTCACTTTGTACCATATTTAGAAAATGTATTGCCTAAAATGTGACACATTGTATAGTATAGTACAATAAGAATTTAATTAAATTGTGTTGCATTATGTGTTGTCCATAGAAGCACAGCAATGATGTAGACATGACAGCCCTTTGGCTCAAAAATGGCTGCTTGCTTCATGACCTGTTGGCCCAGCACTCTTCAAAGCAGGTGAGGAGAGATTTATATATGACTAAATCACATGAAAATTACTCAGTATTTATAAAGACTGTTATGCTTTCAGATGTGGGAGTCAGATGAAATGGTGCCCTTGGCGGTAGACCTTAGTGACCAGATACGTGTGTTGAGTGACCTTTGTATTCAGGCCTATCAGCAGCTTCTGTCCATCACCGAGGCTCGGTTGCAGAGCATTGTTGGTATGAACTGTTATTTTGTATTATTTTATTGACTAATAAATCCATGTTATGAACGCACTGGTCACATTACTGCTTTCACTTCATGTGAATCGTTTTCCTCTGTGTACTAGTGCCGGCGCTGTTGGAGAGTGAGAGCATCTCAAACCTGGCAGGCTCAGCTGGAAAGCTGCCATTATCCAGGAAGCGTACAAGCTCAGACACTCGGATGGTGGGGGGAGAAGCCCCTAGCATGAGCTCTTTGCTGAGAGAGTTAGGGGCACTACACACAGCCATGTCCCGCCAGGCTCTGCCCCCTGAACTTATGGAGCAGGCCTTCCACCAGCTCACCTACCTCATGTGTGCCTCAGCCTTCAACAGCCTGCTACTCCGCAAGGACATGTGCAACTGGAGTCGCGGCATGCAGATACGGTAAACATCATCTCATAGAATAAAGTAACAATTTAGATAAATTAGAAAAGTGGTAGCAACATGAGCAACATTTAACGTAAGTATTTATGTGATAGTAGAAGTGATTAGTGAATTTTATTATCTTATTATCTGTACACTACTGAATGATTACGCATATATGAGATATATGCTTTAAATGTCTGTAATTGTGCTTCATCACTCAAAAGTTACAATGTGAGTCTGCTGGAGGAATGGCTGCGTAGTCGAGGACTGTCAGCAGGGGGCACTGTGGCTACATTGGAACCCTTGATCCAGGCGGTGCAGCTGCTGCAGATGGGAAAGAAAACTGAAGGCGATGCTAAGTCCATGGTTCAGACATGCACAGCTCTTTCTAGCCAGCAGGTGGTGCACTTTTCTTTCTCTATTAGTACAACAATAATATGTACATTATAATAACTTGTGCCTGTTTTATCTTCTCAGATTGTGAAGATTTTGACCCTATACACACCTCACAGCGATCTTGATGAAAGAGTCACTTTGAATTTTATACGCACTGTCCAGGTATTGTTTTTTATTTTGTTAAAATATTTTAAAACATTTGGTGATATAACACATATATATTCTTGCTTCTTTTTAGGGGCTTCTCAAAAAAGGCTCTGACAGCCAGGCTCCACAGATCCTTATGGACGTGAGGCAAGTCTTTCCTGTGACATTTCCCTCTTTGCCCTCACCAAACCTCCATGCAGATCAGCTGAAGATTCCAGACAACCTTAAGATTTCCTTCCTACGCAGGGCCTAAGAATGTTTGAATTTGTGCCTGCTTGAACCACACTATTTTCTAACTTTTTAACTAACTTTCTAACTTCAAATGATTTAGAAATAAGTAGACATATATTAAGACTTCATGTCATATTTTATTGGAAGCAGAATCACATTGCAACTGCAATCCAAGTCCATCCCCAATAAGAACATCCAGAATAAAAAACAAAACAAAATTAGAAACATCTCAAGTATAAAAAAATTCTCATGCGAGTACTTTGTACCACTACACTTCATCCGTAATACATATTTATATATTCACATCATCGACAAATAGAAAACAATGACATTTGTTTTTTTCCAAAGAAATTTGACGACCATTGGCATTTAACATCAAATAATTATGCGTGCTGGCACAATACATGTTTGACTTTTTGTTTTATTGTTCCTATCATGCACCATTTGTGGAAGTACAGGTGGCAGTGCAGAGAAAGGACAGAACATGCTTGTTTGTCTGTCAGCTTGAATCACTGTGCTGATCTTTGTGCTTCTATGTCTATGATCGTGCAACCTTGCCCACATGCCAGCACATTAGCCAAATCCTCTTACACCTTCTTATACATTTCATTGTCAACAGCAATAAATAAAGATTTTTCGTGGCATTTCCGGCTCTAAATGATGTGTTGTAAAACTCCTCTGAAGAAAAGATGCTATACACATTTCCATTTTCTTTTGAGAAGGTATATCATCCATAATATGTACAATTATACAACTCTGTTCAAACATACGCTTTGACATACCATTCACATAAGCTACATATCCAAGTGGGTACCCATATGAAGCAAAATGTAAGTCTACAAAAGAGCAGCAAACTTCACATGACGAGGTTTATCATTTTTTAGATATTTACAACATCAATAATGTTCTTTCTCTATTCAGTGTGACTACAACTGCAATATTTGGCCTGTAACAATAGAGACAGCGTCAACAAGATATCAGACAAAACACTTGTGCTGATATATTAAATCCACAATGTAAACATTTTAAGACCATTTTAAAATCTACAATATTTCAAAATTAGATGCATAGAAATCAATTACATCTTGTTCAAAAGGGGGTAGAAATTATTCAGTTCTAAGTGCTTCTCAGTGGCAACTTAAAAACACCCTGACATTTCCAATTTAAAACAAAATTTAACCAAAACACTTCAAGAACAAACCTTACAGTTTATAGATGAATAATTCAGTCAAAGTTTAAAGAAGGGCATCCATAAAAGACAATGTATGTTCTGTGACACTGGATGCAATGACATGCAATTCCTGTATTTCCATAAAAAATAACAACAACATATAATATTGTTTTGTTGGAAATGTGTTATTATTGATGCAACAAAGACCCTGTGCTTAACTACTTTGACTAGAAGATTTCAAATGTTAGTTTTACAAACCTGATGCGGTCTGAAGACACAGCCCTTTAGGTAATCTGGGACTAAAATTGTACCCACTGATCATTTCAGTCTAGAAATGAATTTATCACCTGTTTAAGTGTTCAATAGCTAGGCAGTCAAGGGCAGTTTGCGGAATGTCTATTCACATGTACAACTACCATCATGGGGAAACACTCCCTGGGTGTGTCCTTCCCTTAAATGGCTTTCAGTGAATACATTTGTAGGTAACAGGCAGCACAGGTGACCACATGAGGTCGACATGTCACACACAGATTCTGATGATCCACGCTCTAAACAGGCACTATGGAAGAGACTACACACAAGGGCCCACGAGACAGAAGGCATTGGGGTATCAGGCAGTGTGCTCTGTTACAAGTACAGACAGACTACATGAAATTTTTCATGTACCAAACATAAACCCATTTTTTTCACATAGGACTTAAAATCTGTCTTAAATATAATTTCTCTATAATAGTTATTTGATTATAATATAAATAATTTAATAAATATAAATATAATCTGGAAGAAAGAGCATTAATAATTTCACACATCAAAATGATGAATGAAAATAAAAGACTTTTGGACTGTCAGAGACTTTTGGAATGTCTGAGGCCTTGCAGCCAGTGTCGGTCATTCAGACAGTTTGACCTGTTGTGCTTCTTACGGATCTTGGCATTATTAATTATCTTTTGGCACTTATGGTCCTTTCTGAGCAGCTGCAAGGCAGAAATGTGACAAAAAATTCCAACATGTTGTGGGGAACTAACTACGGGCCATATGAGACATAGAAAGGCTACTATTTCTCACCCTGATCGCCATATGAAAACATTGTTTGTAATGACACACTATGAAATATCAGATACACTCTAACATAATGCTATGTCCTGTTCACTTTGATTAATGTGTTTTCTCTGTGCTTATGCAAGGGCAGTGGCTAGCGAGAGCTCAGATGAGCTCTAGAGGGCAATATGGAGTGGCATAAGAGCTCTTAACTGCGGCCCTCCTCTGCAGAGCGTTGGTCCGATTTGAGCTTGACAAACTCTTTGGCCACATCATCATTGTTGCGCTGGGAGAGGATGCGCAGCACGGTCAGACCTGTCTCGTCCATGTTGATGCGTTTACCCAGGGGCAGCCAGCAAGCGACGCTGCCCTTAGAGGCCACATCTTTGAGCTGCAGGACGGCCATGCCCACTGTGCGGTCCTCACGGGCAAAGCAGTAGTCCTTCACACACACCTGCAGCTCATAGCACTCAGGGCCCACTTCATTACTCAGAGTGCTGCAGGAGAGACACAGGTGTTACTATGGGGTCAACATTACACATGTGAATCACTTATGTCAATACTCACAATGTGAACGTTTCATTGTATTTAGGAGCCCAGCTGTTGTTCTTTGACTTGGTGGCGTACTTCCTCTTCTTGTCACTGAGGTGTGGCCCGATAATATAGACCTCAACAAATGGCCTGAATATTCCCTGTGTCTGCCACCTCAGGTCATTGGCAGCGACGACTGTCACAGAGGAAATGAGAAGGAAGACAGAGGGATGGAGTGGGTGCGAACAGAGAGAGAGAGTCATGTGTGAAAATGAGCAGCAAAAAACAAGAACAGAAGCCACACATTATCTCTGAGTCTACCGTCACCCAACATTCAATGCTTAAATACTATGGGAATAATTGGGGCCTGAATAAGACATTTTTCCCATAAAGCCTGTTTATTTAAAATTATTCCACATCAATAACTTAGATGTTATTTTATTTTTACCTTTGACAGTAACCTTGTGTTCTCCAGTGCTGGGATGTGTGAAAATCTCCACATGTATGGACACCTCTCCAACTGCGTCATCCACACCTGAGCCTGGTGGAAATTGAAAAACATTTCAATAAGCATGTATTCTCGTTGGACCATAGGGCTCCTTGGATCCTATGCATGCCATTTGGAGATTGGGAAATCCCCCTTATTTTGATACAAAGCATCGGCAGAGACCAGATTTATATAGTCACTGTGTATCAGGAGGACCCGACATAAGGTAGTGAAGGATGTAAAATGGCAGGCAAAGCAGCTATGAGTAGGTACATGGTGTTAATCTTAAAGCAGAAAACTAGTATAGTAAATAGTAACCAGCATAGTAAACTAGTACTAGTAGTAGTTTGTATTTGTTAGACAGTATCTGTTCCCACTCATAGATGATTGATGTCTGCCAGGATGCAGGGGCTAGTTCAAGTCTGAGTGAATCCCCCAACAACCAAGTCATGCTTTAAGGGATCTCGAAAGTGGGAATGGTGTTGATAAAATGCTTTATCGAGTCATAAAAGCTCCACTTAAAAATGTTCTGTAAGACAAAAATAAAGTTCTTTGATATTGCCAACAGTTTGCTTAATGAGAGGTTGGGATTTCAGTTTGCCTGGGATATTGAGACAGATGGACATGTATTTCAAATGTTTTAATTAGTGTTGTCACTCTGTCAACTGTATCTTTGTGGCAAGAACCAGCAGCCTGTCGACATGCGAGTCTTCTGTACTGGCCACCCACTAAACAAGGTGTCTGTTCCTGGCACGCCGCTCTCCGGGCAGCAGTGTGAGATCCATGGTCTCTGTGCCAACATGACCAAAGAGAGCAGCAGTGTCCATCTGGCCTCATCTAGTCTATGGAGGACATCCACCAGACATGAAAAACAAACTTTGCTGATCAGGAAGTAGCAATGTGTGACCAAACCCAGTAAGTATTGTGCAATCTGATGTGCAAAAAAAATAAATAATAGCAGATTTTTCAAATTTTCTAGCTCAGCAGCAATTTAATGTGCAATAAGAATATCACGCAATTAAATTTAGCATAGCAGTGCCTAAATGTCTATTTTTGCTTCATTAATCGAGCATACAAA